TATTTCAGACAGATTTCCATAAAATTTTAAAGGTAAAATGTAGTCACCTGGGAAATTTACTGCTGTGAATGCCTCATTTCCTGTTAATGCCAGATTAATTCTAAGGGGCTAATGGAAAGAGCATGGTCTTTCGATCCAGATTTTGTTTTGAATCATAGTATTGCCATTTATTACTACTAGCTTTACGACCTTGGGCAAGTTTCTTGACTTTTCTGAGCTGGTCTTCTCATCAGGATTAGAGCATATCACTAGGGGGTTAAAATGAGATTTAAAATAGATAATGAATGTAAAGGGCCTCATGTAATATATTCTGGCACATATTTAATCCATGGTAGCTATTACTATTGTTAATAGATGATTGGTTAAAATGTACCATTGATCAGATTTTATGTTAAGCCATTTTTACTTCACTTACTTTATAAAAATTCTTGGTCCTTATCTCAACCTTGGAAACACATCGGATCCATTCTTATCATTTTAAAGTTGGAAAAACTGGAGCTCAAAGAGCTTCACTCTTCTGCCCAAGAAGACAGACCATTAGCAGCAGAATTGTACTTGAACCCAAAACTTGGATGTCTTGCTGATCTTTTGGTTCATATTTATATGACAGTCAAAGCTTTTGGCCTTAAACTTCATTCTTCTTTATGTTTTTTATTCTAGAGGATTAAAGATTTAGATCATGCCAAAAAAGGATTTCTTTCCAGTATGCTGTTATTTTAATTTGTGCCATAATTAGCCTGGGAATTGGCTAAATAATTATATACATATATGACTTTTCAAGTAGACTGACTTCATCATGATGTCTACTGAAGTGTATTCTATTTTTGCCCTTTCCATTTAATTAGTCCTCATAGCCAAAATCCTACAGTAATTTAAAGCACATTCCCATAATAAACCTGAGACATCACATCACTATTCTAGTAAAAGGAATGCCTGCCCCGTTCAGTGGGGAAAAGTGGAGAATAACTAAAATGCAGAATGGGAAGTCACTGACGCTCAACGAGAGGAATTTCGATAAAACTCAAGATACGTGAAAAAAGGTGTAGCTTGTAGCCATCCCACCCACCAGCAGTTTAATAGATAAGCATTCCATTTTGAGGAAAAAGTCAAAATATGTATCCTTAGCTCAACCTGAGAGGAGATATAGGAGAGAAAAGATTTGTACCTTTCCTCTGTGGGACTGTGATTCTTAGAACAAGAGGAAGCAACAGCTTTCCCAGTGTCGAAAATTTTAGTTCTTTCTTGACTTGAGCTGCTTTCAAATTGCTGACGCAAATATTAGTGGCTCCAAGCTTTTACTCCCACCACTACCTCCCTCGAGCTACCGCCTAGTAAATTTGAAGGGTTTAGCCTCGGCGTTCTATTTCACATTCATGGAATTGGAGGAGCTAAATCTGCATGCAGCTTGCAGACAGCTTCCCCTCTCCCTTATTATAGTTGGCTGCGAAGCTCAAATAATAAACATTTAACAAGTGGAATGCCGTTTCCCTTTGGTCTTCTCAGCAGGCTTCATGAGGGACTACAGTTTATTTGGATTCCGGGGAACCAGCTTCCACAGGGCCCAGTAGTGCGCCTCATGCAGGACTGGTCGCCACCGCTGACTTTTTCCCTTTGGGGAAAGAAGAGAACGTTGTTTTATCAAGCACTTTCTCTGGTCTCTGTTTTGGCTCCCTTGAGGAGTACTTGATGTGCTATTTCAGTGGTCAGCGTTGAGTAAAGAAAGAAGTCAGGGATGCATAACTTGTTAACCAAGCAAAATAACTATTCTGCTGCTTAAGGCTAGTTCCCCATGTCTTACAGCACAGGAAGGTGCATTGTAATGAATTTTATATTTCTTAACATAATTCTATTTCTTATATTTTATGTATTCAATTTGTATTTCTATATAAATAGAAGTGGT